GAGAGAGAGAGAGAGAGTGAGTGCGTGTGCGCGTGTGTGTGTGTGTGTGTGTGTAGGGGGACATGAAGCCATTATCCATTTTCACACTCCCTCAAAAGATACCCCAAATACTGGGGAGCCTTTAATGGCCAGGCAGTCTGACCAACCCCCCCTCTGTGTGTGTGTGTGTGCGTGGGTGCGTGGGTGCGTGGGTGCGTGGGTGCGTGCACGCGTGCACGCGTGCGTGCGCACGCGTGTCTGTGTCTGTCTCTCTGTCTATCTGTCTCTGTGTGTGTGCGCGTGTGTGCATGTGTGTATGTCTGTGCGTGTGTGCATGTGTGTGCGTGTGTGCGTGTGTGTGCGCGCGGGTGCACGCGCGCGCGCGCGTATGTGTGTGTGTGTCACGTGTGTGTGTGTGTGTGTGTTTGTGTGTGTGTGTGTGGGTGTGGGTGTGGGTGTGTGATGGTGTGTGTGGGTGTGCGTGTGCGTGCGCGTGCGCGTGTGCGTGCGCGTGCGCTTGTGCGTGCGCGTGCGCGTGCGCATGCGCGTGCGTGCTTGTCAATGTCTGCGAGCGCGGTCGAGCAGGAATAGTGTGGGGGTGAAGGTGTGCGCACGGCAGGATGACGTCGTGCGGCCTGCAACTGGATAAACCATGCCCAAGCTTGAGCACATGCTGTCAACGAACCCCTGGCCAAGGTTGGCGCGGCAGACGTCAAGGGTGCCTTGCGCATCGCACGGGACCAGACAAACTGGGGTGGTGGGGTGGGAGGCGATCGTTCCTGAAACTTTCGAAGAAGGGATCTGTCGGCGGCAGACATGCTTGCGGGCTCATGCGAAGGTCTGCAAGGAGAGACCTGGGCTTTCATGGTTCCTGGTCGAATAGAAGCTTCACAACTACGCGAAGGTCGTGAACCCGCAAAGCCGTATCTGTGACCCCCATGCGCACGTCCTCAGCTGAAATCGGTGTCCTTGGCAGGAAGCTGTCGACGAAGCTCGCTCCAAGGGCGATCGCCGATGCGAGGTCCGCATTTGCTGCTGAAGGGTTTCGGCTTAGGAAACTTAGGAGACGATTGTTCTGGCCAAAGAGATGTCTCGTCAGGATTTTCAGTCGTGGCTTGACAGCCGTTTGCAGGGATTTGGTGAGGACCCTGCGGTGTCGAAGCAGAGAAAGACTATGCTTCCATCCTGTTTATCCCTGTCGTACATGTCCTTTGGGGGTCCAGGACTCGAAGGAAGTTCTCCCAATATACGAAATGTTTTGCAGCCAGTAGCAAGCTTCCGCGTAAATGGTACCACTGACGAGCCCGCAGGTTCTTGCTCTGGAAACGTTAGCTGCTTGGCCGGTCGGAAGTTTCGGGATGTCAACACAAAGAGCAGGATTGAGAGCGGTTGTAATGCGAACCTAAATGAGCCAAGCAGAGGAGCAGAGATGCTGAAGCCGTAAACACTGCAGCCTTTTGTGCTTGGCAGCTGTGTTCCTAAGTTTCATTCATGGTAGCTCTTCAGGGAGACTGCTTGCCAGAAACCCAGCCTCAGCACATCTGGGCCATCGACAAGGAACTACAACGTAATACAACGACTCGACGAAGCTAATGACGCTTGCTTAGGCCACCCGATGCAAATCTGGCGGCATCATTTCCAAGAAGCAGAATAATCGAATCAATCAACGGGGCACCTGTTTCTGGCATCGGGAACACTTTGCGAAAGCAGAAGATGGCTTTAGCCACAGGAGAGGGTAGACATGTCGGAATGAACCTGCCATCGGTTGAAGCATGCCAATAAGGGCAGACTACGCAATTTCCAGACCACGTGACGAGACCAGGTTGTGAACTCGGCTTACACGAGGTCTGGAAAGTACAGCAAAACGTCTAACACTCACATCGCACAATGCAGAAGCTGTAACAGCCAACAATGCTCTTATCAGAAGGAGCGGCCCTGCTTCTCTCTGACCCCTGCCTTTGCACTTTCCTTTATCTTTGGAGCCATCTGCAAATGTTAGTTGTCTAGTGACGACAGGGCTTCAGAACGGAAGTTGGGCGATGTTTTGATTGTCTCGAGGAGATCTGTCCGACGCACGTCCCCGACTGGGCGATGGCAGGGGCGTAGCCTTCGGAATTGGCTTTTTCACGAGACAAGCCAAAGCACTGTCTTCTTTGACCGCAAACCGTTTGCTGCTTGCTAACCCCGGCTCGCTTACTCAACAAGGGCAACGCAAAACTGTCCCAACTGCATGCGGCATCCACCAAAGCTTTTTAAAGCTTTTGTTTCAGCCCTGTCCTTGGCATTGCGACTCTGAGCTTTTGGACGTTGCAAACGAACCAGACTCAGATTGTTCGTCGCTGTCACCATTTTGCCAACCACGTGACAGGCTTATCCCCAAGCTTTTCGGTTAAAGATCTTCATGTGAAACTTCGTCATCTGGGCTTGCCAGCTTGCAGGCAAAGCCTGAATTGGAAGCACCAAACATAATCTATATGACGGATGCCAAAACTATGTCAATGTCAGCACTATGACATATTATGAGGAGATTTGGGAGCTATCTGAACACGAGCCTAAATAACCTAACCAACTTAAGCTAAGCGTCCAAAAAATAACTTCGATCAGCATCCGTTCCATCTCGATGCTAGACGTAGCCTGGGGCATCAGAGAGTGGCTGTTAGTGACGGTTAGTGCCACCGGACCAGCCCCCAGCAACATCATGGAAGTCGTGTCGAAGCGTTGGGTGCTGCAGGAGTGACCAACCCTTCCCCCCCCCCAAGCATCGTAGTCGTAGCAGGGCATTCTCCATTCTAAGCAATTCGGAAGCTCCTCAACTTGATCCCTGGATGTGGTGCTCAGGTTGCTGTACACCTGGAAGCAGATGCCTCTTTTGAGAGTGGTGATCCCAGACTGGTCCCCTTGTCAGACTGTTTCTGTAGGCATTCCAGATGGAATTCTGATGCACGATGAAGGATGAAGGAAAATACATGCGACTTGAACCCAGCATGTCTTGAGTGCGCAGTGCTGGACATGTCGTGGATGCCAAACCTCGGAATGGACACGACAGATCTTCGCCTTCACAACATAGATGGCACTGGCAGAGCTTATGCTTTTTTACAACTTCGCAAACCACGCAAGTTTTGACTTCGGTAGTGGGGCGGACGGACGCCGACGGCCAAGATGCCATGACATCCAGTCCGGGCCTGGCTGTTTGATCAGCCGGCTGATGAGCCATCTGCTAGCTGAAACTGAATGCTACGCCACTTCGGGATGCATGAGCTTGTAATGCGCCCTGGCACGTGGATCGCAAACCCGAATTTCCGTTGAAATCCTTCCACACAGAAGCTCCACCCCTGCCCCCACATCCAAAGCCTCCTTTCCGCTTGAGGCGGCGATCTTCAGGAGGCCAGACTAACGGGGTCCACGCCTTTCATGGGCCGGTCGCTTGAAGCTTGAGCCTGAAACCTCTTCCGAAGAGAGACCTTGAAAGGCGCGGGAGCTCAGCGTGCAAGCGTACGAGATCTGCCAGAGGTTGGAGGACTTGCCGTCCAGAGAGAGAGCGAGAGGGGAGAGCGAGCAGAGAGCGACCAAAACAGGGGGAAGGAGGGAGGGGACCCGACTGAACTGTCTCGCGTTTGTGGGTGGGCCTTGAGGCGGGAAGCGCTCCCTCCCCCTAGCAAGCAGGCAAGGCAGAGGCAAGGGCAAGGGCATGTCCTTTATGTTTTGTCGGAGAGAAGAGCCTCTGACATGTGGCTCAGGACAAGAAGTGGGAGGCGACGACACTGCACAGTGCAGCTCAGGCTTGCTTGAGGTCCCACGACAGCATCTACCTGAATCTAACTTGTAAGAGACTCATGCAATCATGCGTCCTTCTAGATTCTGAATAGGCATGGATCGCAGACGTATCGTCGTTCAGACTACTGGTGAGAGCATCTCCCAATCCGGCATCTTTAAGCAATCACTCGTTTTGCCCAGCTCAGATGTCGAATTGCTAAGGCTTCGTCTTCACGAGGAGGCTTTGACAAAGGTCACAGAGAGTTCCACCATACTGGATGACATGGGCGAGCATGCTGAGAGGGCTACAATCCTTCAGACCCTTGGCGAAGATGGCGGATGGAAGGGGGTTCAGCGGGCGGCAGTTTGATGTCATGCTGACAGAATAAACGTGGTGGAAGCTGCAGGGTGAAGACAAGCAAGCTGCGATAACAGGTGTCTATAACATGCCTGCATCTGAAACGACAAGGTGCCTCAGAAACCTTGAAACTGCGACTAACCGCAAGCAACGGCAGGACAGCTCTTGAGATCCTCATGGCCAAGGCGGGTCGGATGTCTGGAGACCTACTAGTAAGGACCTGAGAATCACTGAACCCGCGAAAGCCTTTCTTTCTGGTCACCAGGGCGACAGCCGCGCTTCTCTGGAGGAGCTGCGGCTGCGGGAGGGGGCTTGAGCAGCTAGAACGCTTACGCTTGTGTCTGAATTTCGAATATTTTCGCTGTGTGCAGGTTTCCCAGGAGATCCGACGACTGACGAAGGAGATTGGCAAGCGCTCCCGAGAGGCCAGGGCTGTGGGCTTAGCTTGTCGCAAGTGGAGCTCGTGCTGAGAACTGGGCAGCTGTAGACCTAGAATCACCACAGTGTCTCTCAAGTTCAGAACTAGACCCCGCTGTGCACAGGCGAACGCCATGCTTATGGAAGGGCAGATCCAACACACCTTAGGTGCAGCCTCTCACTGGGAGATATTCTGGGTCTGAGATCATGATGATGGGAATGTTGAGAATCGGCCGCGGCACAGGGCAGTTCGATTCAGCGCTGCGCCTGGCGCAAGAAGCCCAGGTGGGAACGGGGGGTGGAGGTGGGGCTGCCGGGTGCAGCGCTGAACAACTTGCCCGCCTCGGTTGCAGGTGATATTTCAACAGATTGGGGACAAGAAGGGTGAGGCATCAACTCTCGAGCATCTGTTTTGCTCTGCTGGAATCTTTGTCAAATTCGGCAGAGAAATTTGCGGGCCCTAGAATGCAGAAGAGCACTGCGAACAGGGCCTCAGCTGGAGCGTCGTGTCAGAGGTCCAGAAGAACATGGGCGAGAAGGCCCCAATGGAAGACTGCTGTAAGAGCTTATAATCGTTAAGGGCTACTCCCTCTGGCAGACACCGCACCTGGCCTATCCTGGACAGGCCGATGCTCTGAAAGCCTGCCGCACCACCCAGACCCTCTACCAGCAAGTGGGCGACAAACGTTCACAGGCGCATCGAGTCCCTTAAGTCCCCATGCCTGCGAACTTGGACTTCCGCCTCTTTGCAAGGCTTACGCGAAGAAGTGCGGGCCTCCTCTGAAGGGTAGCGAAGCGTAGCCTGCTCGAGAGCTCGGGGTCTCAGGAGCAGTACCACGCTCTTCGTGGCGCAGAGCTGCGATGACGAGGCCATCGGCGCATGGATCTCTTCTTACTAAGTCACCCCTGTCGACTCAGTTCATACATGAACGCCAGGCGGTTCATTCTGCGAACGAGGCAGCAGTCTCAGGATTTGCTTTCGGAGCTCTGGAAGTCCGAGGCCGTCTGTGTTCGGCTTGTGTCTTTGCGCAAGTCCACCTGGGAGTTTTACGCCAAAAACGTCTGCTCTAGTGGTACGGGTCCACAGAATAAGAACTCTTCCTTCGCTTCAGGGTCTGTATCAGGGTCCTTTCCTTCACTTCCGAAACTTCCACTGCAGGCCCAGGTCTGCTGAGCGCTGAAACGGTGGTGCCATAAAGGATGTTGGTAGCTGTCGTTCCCCTTTAGGCTTTGACCCTGGCGCGGGCCTCCGGCGACATGAAAGCGGAGGTGCTCAAGACAGACTTGGGAGCATCAGTGGGCAGAGTGGACAGTCCCTTCTGTGCCGATGTCGTTCGGGATTTGTCGGGAGGTCGAGATGCTGAACTTGGTGGCCCAAGCCACGCTGAACAGCATTATCAAGCGCAGCCAGGTCATGGGCTCTATCTACAGTGAAGCTCAACTCGCTAGCTCAGTTCGAACTCAGGAGATGGCAGACGAAGACGCCATTCTTCACATCATGCAGAGGGAGGCATGGCCTTGCCCTGGACTCATTTGCATAGCAGCGCAGCGCGATAAGATGTCTCCTGTCAGCATTACCGCCGACAAAACCCCAAATGCAGCTGCAAACAGCGATATTTCTAGTCGGCCGCGGCCGGGACAGATGGGGACAGGACATTTGAAGGATCGGACCTGGTCAAAGCTGTCGAAGCAGTCCCGCTTGCAAATCCGTTCTCTGCCAGGCTGGCAACGGGCCGTGCAGGTTTTTGCGGCTCAAGTCGCCAGTGCTTCTTGCTATTTACGAAGGATGTAGATGGACTGTCCCAAGCAGAAACCTGATCACAGACACAGCTGCAGGAAGTGCAAATCCAACAGGCAGGCTTACGGCCATGTCGGTGCCACACTAGGGTGCGATGCGGGTCATCAGCTTCTTGTTCCCGTCCGTGGTCGCGATGGACGCGTACTGTGAGTGGTCTGCACGATTGCAGACAGCAGAGGATCATTTGGCTTATTGCATCCAAAGTCCTGCGGGTAGTCTGAGGAGTCCAAACCTCCTTCAACACATTAGACGACAAATGTTGACCTCATACTAGCCACTTTTCGGAGACGCGAGGAAGGCATCTTGTTTGTTTCGAGCTCTACTTACGCTGAAGGCCGGAATGCTTTGCTATTTGAAGCGTGTCGGCAAGAGTTGCCGCAGGGCTTTCGATTTGGGTATTTGGCTTTCGTCGACGATGACGTGGAGATAGTCGCTGGGCCCCTGAGGGCTTGGCATGCAGTATTGCTCCAGTGGGAGCCGGCGGTCATGGTACCTGCAGAAAGTTTCGTTCTCGGTGCACACTCGTACGCTGGTCGACCAGCTGGAGTGTGGATTTACGATTCATTTTTCATTTCATATCGGCGCGAGGTCGCTGATGCCTTGCTGCCGCTCAGGACGTTGCTTGATGACGCGAAGGAATGCTGGTGGTCCTCCAGCTTCTGCGTCCAGCACATGACAGGGGTGTATCTACAAGGTCACTGCCTGCTTTCTGACAGACTGGTCGTTCGAAATTCAAAGGCTGGCAGCTATCCCCGGAAGGGATGCAACAGTAGCAATATGCGAAGAATATGGGGAATTGACATTGAACAGCCACCCAGACACCAACGAACTGCGTGATACTTTCCATCTGTTTGCTGAGCCGTATTTGGAGTGGGGTCGTGCGAGAAACCTGGCTGAAGTGGCAAACATGAGCATCCGACCGAATCACCTAAGCAAGTAATCACTTACTGGTAGCCGTTGCCCATACTTGTAAACTTCTGCACAAGACACTCCAGGAAAGCGAGATGGGCGAGTTTACAGAATGGCCTTGAGCGCATCCCCTGCATCGAGCGGAGACTGGCAGGTCAGTGCTGCTCTGCCTAAAGCGATATCCTTGCTTTCCTCGGGGCACGCGCCTGATGTGTTGGAGTGACGAACCGGCTACTTTCTGGTTCGCAAATGTAACAATTTGACTGCAGGAAGTGCAGCAATGGGAAGCTGCTGGCAGTCTTGGCCACAGCTTTTGGTGTAGCCTTGTTGTTGATGACCTGGCAGGTTCGGTGCCTGGCGATGACATCTTCATGCCAATGGGAATGGCTCTTACCTCCAAGAGAATTTGACAATGGTGCTGGCGGCTGTGTTCTCATGTATCGCCGGTAATCACGTGTGAGACATGTCTGGGAAGGCTACCAGCCTTCAGTTTTAACTGCGGGCACACTCCTCTATCACGTTCTTTCCTCGATGGCTGGTGGTTTCTGCTTGATCTCTGGTGCATGACGGGTGGCCTGTTTTTCCGGCTGTCTGGTGAAAGAAGTGGAGACGGACGTGTGGAAACGTGTGGAAAGAAGCCTCTGTATAGTGGTGAGGTCTGTAGCTGGCCGTCATTGATACTAGGTCACAGCAAGTCATCTGGTGGAAGATGAAGCCCCTTTGCCGGCATGCGAGCAGAAAGTTGCGGCAAACATGGGTCACACATTGGATATGAAATTGCAATTGTTGGCCGCCGTAGCCCCGACAGTCCAGCGCGCCCCGACCACTCCGCGCGCTGGCAGTTACCTCACCCCGGTCAGCACTGAAGTGCCAACCGATGCTTACTGGGCCACATCCATGGGGACTGCTCGCACGATGCTAAACCTGGTCCTGCATTGAATTGCGATCCTTGCTTGGAATGGTGTTTGCGGATGTTGAGCACAACAAACAAGTGCAAGCGCCTGTTATGTGACGCATGTGACGGCGGGCAGAAGACTGCTTACGCCACCACTAGTCGCACGGCACTAGGCATAATCGCAAGATCTCGCAAATCTGGTGCAGTACTGATCACGGATGCAAAGGAGGCAGACGAAAGGGAGGATGACGAAGGGCACGAGGACGACACCGCGATCGCGAGGAGTCATAGGATGAGACATAATGAGAAGGACGAGTAGAATACTCATCATGCTGCTGCTGCTGCTTCCGAGGAATCGTTTTGAGTAAATACGAGGCGTGGAGGTGGCAATTCGGGAAAGATTGTCGAGAATCTCGCTTGACCTCGGTGCCTGGTGTGTTCGTTCCTTCCCTATGGAAATTTGGATCTTTGGGGCTCACTGTGGGGAGGCATGTGACACGCGATGTCCGGAAGCGTACATGTCCCAGTAGGCTTTGATCTTGGTAAAGCCCTTTTTCTCTTGTCTTGCTTCCAGGGTCTAAGACATAAATCTGTCCCTTTCGATTCGGTTTGCTCCTGAAGCATGTCTTGCGACTCGCTTCCTCAAGTGGCGATTCCTGGTTTCCCCCTTCTTCAGCGATTTCTGTAGTCTCATCTTCATGCCCGTCCGAGTGTCCCGACCCAATTTCCCATCCGAATCTTATTTCGTAGCCCTGCTACATGTCACTGTATATAGTCATGCGCCAGGCTTCTGCCGTGCGCCCTGCGCGTGAGGCGGCCGCGCTGGCGCGCAAGATGGGAGACAAGCAGCCGCTGGAAGCATTGTAAATCCTTAACCCTTTGCGGTGACCCTGAATCCGGGGACTTCGATTGACAGGGGTTTACGCATTTTAATTAGGCCTGAAACCTCATTGTGTCACGTACTTGGCGAACTTTGTCCGTATTTGTTTGTTTTTGACTTTATTTGTTTTTACTTGTCATTATTGGTTGTTAAAGGTTTTATTTTGATCATGTTTGTTCTTTATGTGATCGATTCAAATTCCGGTCCTGGCTTCCTGCTGTTCTACAACATCGCTGAGGCAACGGTGATCAAGTGATCGGGTGGCTGGGTGGGTGGGTGGGTGGGTGGGTTTACGGGTGCCTGAGGATATGTGGGGCTTAGTGCATTTGGATTTGGGGTTCAGGATTCAGGGGTTCAGGAGCTACGGGGTTCAGGGTTTAGGGTTTAGGTGTTTTGGGTTGGAGTTTAAGCTGTTTAGGGGTTTAGGGGATTTTGGGTTTTAGGTTTAGGGGGTTTCAAGTTTAGGGGTTTAAGGATGTAGCGCTGGTTGGCCAAGGGGTGTAGGGATTTGGGCTTAGGGATTTCGTTTAGGAGTTTCGAAA